AAGGATCTTTCTTATAGAAAATTTAAATTCCATCTGATCTATTTATCCAGCTTTGTGAGGTCAATGACAATCATCCGTCCTAGTTTAAGTTATTAACAACTGTATTGTTGTTGTTGCAACCAGGCCCGTGTTTTAGATTATTTCCGTGGGAACTAGGCGTGATATAAAAACTAGGAAAAGAAAATGATAGGAGGTTGGACTGTATGAAACTGCTGTTTACCTTCTGAGAGCTGCAATGGCTGTTGGGAGCGTTTGTTGGAACTAGATCTGAACTAGGTCCGATTAGCTCACCACTCCCCAAGTTAACTTATAAGCCTGATTGGACTTGGGGCTTGAGCTCGCAAACTTTGCTTTCTCGGTGTGACCGACTGACCGGAGTGGAAAGGTTTGAGCCAATCAGCCGAGTTTGTTTGAGCAATACCAAACTGTACTTAATTCGGTTGACAATCTTTAGTTTTAGCTTATGTATTTGACAGGTTAGATGGTAAACTGTGGGCCTGTGGCTGTGGCTAAGCTCACCAAGCCTACTCAAATATGATACTAACTGGCCTATTCTGCTATTGTATAAGTCTAATTTTGATTTTCTGTCCAGCTTAAGGAAAATTTTATGGGCCTATTAAAGCCTACCGTCTCAGGTCCATAGTCCATGGTCTATAAGGGGTGTAATTGAGTCGAGTTGAGCCCAATATCAGGCTGCTCAAATTTGATAGAGTTTCACATTTCTAGCTCCAATTTAACTCAAATCAATATTCGCAAGAAATTTGAGCTCAGCTTGACTCGAGCCAATTATAAATGCTATAAATAAAATTTTATTTTTAAATCAATTATAAATTTATTTCTTTATATTATAAATAAGCTAATGTAAAAACTTAATACTTATTTATATTATAAATATAAATATATTGTAAAAAATATTATTATATCATGAGTTTAATTAGGCTCGCAAGCCACTCAAGTCGGATATTGTGAAGCTCAAATCCGGTTCGACCAACTACTTGGCTCGAGTCAAATTCGACTAAAACTTTATTACTTCAACCTGAGCCTGAGTAATTCCCAAGTAGGCTCAATTCACTTACACCCCTAATCTAGATTTTAGAGTACCGCTATTCGAACCCTTGATGAGTAGGGTAATAGGTTAACAGAACCTTTCTGCCACTCTTGCTAACCTCAAAGACAATTTCTTTCAATATCTACTGTATTAGTATACCAGTCACTTAATTATACTGCAAGATAAAATTTTATTTTCCTCGTATCTTAATGGATTAATCACTGAAAACATACTTAGATTAATTTATGAACTAGTCCATCTTAAACCTAACCAAACCCACACTAAAAACATACTAGATTAATTAATTGACACCCTAGCCCAAGACCACTTATGTAACATAAGTACTTGGTAGCTCGGGTATAAAACTGTCAAGGTTCAAAATATCGATATGCCCGATACATCAGTATGGACGTATCGGGCAAATTGATACAGCTTTTCATGTTTTTTATTTATATATTTTTTACAATCGGTTCAAGAGAGTTGGTTTAAGGCTCCTCCACCCCCTAAACCAATCAAATCTCAATACACCCACTGTAGGGCTATATCGGAGGGGTCCCAGAACAAAACGTATCGATACTTTGAACCTTACTTTAAACATGATTGATGGCACCAAAGAAAACCCGTTTGAGAGGGTTTCGGAGTTTGGGGTGTATTGTGTAAATTGAGCTGCATGGTTGAATACTGGTATTCGGAGAAGCTATTCAGGGTAGCTTCATATTTGAGCAGTAGTTTGGGCGTCAGCCAAATTGGTTAATTTCCAAAAAAAAAAAAAAAAAAAAAAGTTAAGAAAATTGATTAAGTATACATGGAGCCGCGTGAGGACTGGAAGAAGTTCAGGATAAGATGTCTGGTGATCATGAAAAGAAGCTTAATTCTGCAGGTTAGCATTAGAGGCATAGATAATCGATTAGAATGGTCACCCAAGGAGTGGTCAATCTATGATTATCGGTTCGGTTCTTGGGCATTGAACGGGTAGAATCAACCCGTTGATCAATTGCCATTATCCTTGTTACAGAATACAGATACTGAGATACATGACCAACTCATACTTAATCCAGGTCCACATTCTCATTTGAAACATCACTCCTTTAACCTATTGCAAGACAGCAAATATCATTTTGAAGGAAGAGCATCTCTTACCCAAGCTTTTTCATTACACTCAATTTGGGTGCAATTCGGGTTATCATGCATGACTATTCTAGAGCCTATCCAAAGACATCCTTGATGGACAACCAAATTCAAAAGTATTTAGTATGAGAAAGGGAGGGAAAATATCAAGAAAAAGAATGCCCGGAAAAATGAGACGATTATATCTCTAAAATGATTGGATGAATGGCAATAATTGAAAAGACTAACAAATGTTTACATGTTTTGTATATGGCAATTTTAGATAATGATGATAATATGTTTTCATTTTTTTACAATTTTATTATATTTCTATGTATAAAAATTGTTCTTTTTTATCAACTATCATGCTTATTATTGTTTAATATGATGACTATATGATATTAGAAATTCCACTTTAATACCCTGAACTTTGGGGGTAGTGTCAACTTAGTACCCAAACTTTCAAACGTGTCACTGCATTACCTAAACTTTCAAAAAGTGTTAAGTTGGTCCTTGCCGTTAACTAACCACCAATTATCCGTTGAAAATATCAAAACTACCCTTTAAAAGAAGACACCGTTCATTGTCTTCTACCCTGATACTGAAATGGTTATCTTCAAAGAAAAAGAGAAAAAAATATATATATGAAATATGACAGAGGGAAACAATAACCAAAAGCAAAGAAATAACTAGACAAGAATGTGTTTTAGATCTGAAGGTAGAAGACAATGAATTCACTAGTCTAAATTTTCAAACACCTCAACCTGTTTAGTCTCAAGGAAGAAGACAATGAATAGTGTCTTCTTTTGAATGGTAATTTTGACATTTTTCAACAAATAACTGACAATCGATTAACACTAGGGACCAACTTGACACTTTTTGAAAGTCTAGATAATGTAGTGATACATTTGAAAGTTTGGATATTAACTTGACACTATCTCCAAAGTTCAGGATACTAAAGTGAAAATTTCCTTTACTTTTATTATATAATCATAACATGAAGTTTGAACTATTGACCCAAGTCCAACAACAAATAGAAAAATAATTTAATTTTTGAGTTGATTTTAGATTTTAGATTTTGTCCGTTATCAATAAAAACAATCCCTTGTAATGGTTTATTTAGATGGTGAAAAATGGAGGCACAAATTTTTACCAAGGATATGTTTGTAGAAAATAATAGTGGAAAAGTACTTACCCTGAGATTAAGAGGCGGTGTGGCAAAGGTATAGGGCACATTGGATAATATGAATGATTCCGATAATTAATTACAGAATAATTGAAACCAAACCAAAATGGCAAAAAGCAACTTACATGTCCATTTTCTTAAAACATTTTAAAATTTGACTGTTCATTAATTCCTAGAATATTCTTCTTCTTAAAAACTACTTTTAGTGATTTTCAAATTGATTCCTGTTGCTCTATTTTGCTGATTAATGTGTCAAGCCCAATTTCAAAAGAAAAAAAAATAGAACAAAAATCTGAATCACTGTGACCCAATTTCTTGAAAAACACCCCAAAGGAAATGACCACATTGGCTAATACCCTTTAATCAAATAAGATTTAGGCCATGTTTGGAAGTGTTTACGTTAAAAATAAGTGTTTGTTCAAATAAGCACTTATTTGCATTTGGCACCTAACTTCTTCAAGTGCTTATCTTAAAAAATGATCACTTATTTCATATTGGACGTTTGATAGCTTTTTTCTCCAATAAGCACTTATATAAGCATTTACGACTATTTTGTCCTTCATTTTCTTTCAAATTTTCAAAATACACCCTTATGAAAGTACTTTTATTAAATTACTTTTATAAAATTCAACTAGGGATAAATTTGGAAGAAAACATTGAATAAGTGCTTATACAATAAGCACTTAAAAAACTGAAATTTGTGCTTAAAAAATAAGTCCTTATTTTTAAAATAAACACTTATTTTGGGCTTATTTCCCAAACACCAATAAGTGCTTAATGGTGTGGTCCCAGCCCAAATAAGCACTTATTTTTAAGCACTCCCAAACATGGCCTAAGATTTTCTTCATCAAGCTTTCCATGATAATCCTTTAGGCTGTGTTTGGTTTGAAAGAAAAGGCCCTTCCCTTTGTTTGCTTACCTTTTCTTTCAAACCAAACGCAGAGTTGGTGATTTTGACATATTGTAACTAGTATTTATTATTGCATAATAAACCAATTTAAAATTGGGATAACATGCTCAGTACGGCATGAACTATAAAATCAATGTTTCCCCATAGAAAGGCCTATGAAGTATGAATCTGATCAATCAATCATTCTTTGTGCTTAGAAAGCAGAAATGAGTATGTGTTTAAGCATAAGCATATACTTCTCTACCTGGGTCATATTTGTCATTTTTTTGCATGCATGTTCCCAGCAATTAATGGTAGGTCCAAATTCTCCCAATTCATTATCTGCCATATGATCTGTTATATAAGTAGGCAAAGACTCATAGCAATTATAGCTAACCAGTGTGGGTATAATGGTAGATGTCTGAGACCAAAATACTATTATTTCCTTTTCCAATCTCATGTGGAGATTCTCATTTTTCTTAAGAAATGCTTATAGCTAGAAGAGGATTTCTTTTTCCACCCCCCAGGAGGCCAGGACTATAACCAAGCATCCAGTTCCAATGCAAACAAAACTCAACCTTAAGCATTGTGTTTAGCCTGAAGAAGATGGCCAGTCTAAATCAAGATCAACTTGGGCTCATTTGGGTTGAGTGTGATGTGCACTTATTATTCTGGATGATGAAATGTTGCAGTCAGTGGCAGTGATAAAATCTTGGACTGTTAAGTGTGAGTAGCCCGCCCCATGTTCAAGTTTGAGAACAGCCACTTCATGCAAGAAAATGTGGAAGGTTAATTTTATAAAAATTCCACTTCTTAAGCTTGGGTTATGGCCCTGATTTAGTATCCAAGGCCTTGTGTGTTTCAGCAATACAACAACATTGTATATTCAGCCTTACCTTCTTTTAGTTACTTCATTTTCTTTCTTTTTCTTAATCTTCTTTTCAACTTCCTAATACAATTTTTTCAGCCCTGTAAATCTACATTTTGGCTTCCCATATTTTGATTTCACTAGATCACTAATTTAAAATTAGGGCCTTTTAACTAGACATCAATCATAATACATACAAGGAATTAGAGAGATGCAAGAGTGGAAATGGCTGCAGCACACAAACCACTCTTTTCCCTCTAGACCACATTACCTTTCTTTCCTTCCTCTCAACAATAGAACATTACCCTCTTAACATTCTCCTTGAGGGCTGGCAATTGCCGCACACTTGGCTCCCCTGTTGCCAGGATAGTGCAGGTTGATGCTTGACCAACACTACCAGCTGATGCACCTTTCTCCTGCACATTTGGCTCCATGTAGAATCGTGCTCGAAATGCTGCTAAATGTGCATAATAGGCAGGAGGAACTGCAGAAACACAGACAATGCCACTTAGTAACTTAGACTGGATAAGAAGAATTCTGATAGCCAAATGCTTATGGTTAATAGTCTTGCATCCATATATTGTATAAGCTAGAATATGTATGCAACTAATTATTACAAACATTTAATTTGCACTAGCAAAAAGATTGGCATATGGCCAATCTAGAGAAAATATAACGTTAGGATGAAATTGTCATGAAAATGATTACACCAGCACCATCAGTTTGTCCCCTCTTTCATCAAGGACAGTACAACATTTTCTAGCAGTCTTAAAACTTCTATGCTACTGGCTAGAATAATAATAACCAGAATAAAAGTGATGCAGAGTATACCAACTGGCAAAAGAAGAAGAAGAGAATAAAAAAACCAAAATTGTAGAAGAGTTTACCAACTGATACAGAGCGTGTACATCTTGCATATGTGTAACATAAATTATTTGTCAATGACTGAATTCCATCTGCTGTAAAATTGTTCTCATCCCATAGAACATGGTAATGAGCTGGTCGGCTTGTTCCCTGTTAGATATCCATGAAAGTAACTCATGAATGTGAAGATACAGGAGAGCTAGTAGAATGCGCTACTGTAGCAAACCACTTTAATGAGGTAAAGCGCAAAAAATCAGATTAACAATGGGATATTAACTTCTGATCTGGAGACTACTTGCACAAAAATCATCCATAAGAAAGGTATTGAAGATTGAAACATAAAATCAGTAGGCAGTCAGGTTCCAATTTGATTTTGAAGCTCTCAATTCTCATACAAGAAGGGCCTGCCAAATGAACATTCAGCTACATGCAGGACAGCACACCTAATCAGGTCTATTGCCAGAATACATTAGACCAATTGCATCAGAACCTATTGAACAGTCTTGAAATTTATTTACCCCAGTTGTATATTTAATATTTCCAACTCAAGAAACTGTTAGAGATCAGACATCATCCTAGGAGCTTAACTATGGATCAGGCATCAGACCAACCAAGACATCTAAACCATTTTTATAGCTACATTCTATCTTTTTTATGAGAGAACTTTCATAAGGTCCTTTGGTTGTGTCCACAAAAACTACTATTTGAAAATTCATGATTTGTTTTTCCTTTCTTCACTTTACCAACCTGGAACAACATACCTTGTTATGAAGAATGCTTTGTCAAATTGACGAAAGAATAAATCAAATAAATAAATACCTGAATCCCAGCATGGCTGCAGAGATAAAAATCAAATTCTGTAGGGTGACAAATTTTAGAATCAACCACTGTGCCTGATTAAAAAAATAAAAGAGAATGTTGTTAGACAGATGAGCACCAACATGATCCTTATTTCCTTTTCTCTTGTTGATACATACTTCCTTCTAACTTGTTGATATATGGGTATGTACATATAGTCATTGAAAAACTTGAACTTTACCAGGTAAAATGTTCCCACTCTTGTCTGTGCTACTCCGGTCCCTGTGGTTGTTAGCAAATAGTCTTGTGTGATGCCGTTTTTGGACTACAACAAAAGTCACTGGTGGTTGGTAGTTTGGTTCTAGTGAAGCACAAGCCTGTATGGACCAATTAGTAGTGTCATTTCAAATAATATGAATGAGAAAAATATGAGATTAAACAAGGCTGACCTTCCGGATTGCATCTAACTCATAGAGTAGAACTTGATAAAATTGCCCTTCACTCACACCATCCCTGCTCAAAATATTCCCATGTAAATAATGCAAACACGTTTATATGAAAACGAATGCATGTATATATATATGAAAATACATGCAAGCTATGATGCCTGAATACTGGTGTGGAGATGATATGGACCTGATACAACACCAGATACTGTATACCATTTGTAGAGCATGTACTACATGAAAACACATGCATATATGGTCTGAACGATTTATCCACATGGATAATTTACATGACAAAATCAGACTATCCAGCTGATGGGGGATCTGTGCATCTGCAACTTTAAATATCCTTTGTCAAAATGTGCTATTGAAGTGTTCACTTTCTTTACAATACATTACAGAACGAAGAAATCCCTTTCAGCAAAGCAGCACATGACCATTGGACAGAAACTTTCCAGCTTGCCACATGCCTAGAGGGTAAGCCAACAACCATATAGGGAGATTTTAGTTCACCACCTAATTTGTAACATTGGGAATATCTAGGCCATGAGAACTTTTTGGCCCTAGATATGCAGTTTAAAATTTGCTTCCTGTTATACTAATTACTAATCAAACTATTCTATGCATAATATTTTCAGTTTTTTTTTTAATTTGCAAATGTTTATCTAGATACATAATTTGCTTTATTCATGCTTATATCAGACAGTTAATATGCCTCTGTTTGGGAAGAGTGCAAATACAAACATGTAGAGTGCATTCCAGTTCATGCAAATGCAAAGTTGGTTTAGTTTTGCATTGACAAATTTACTTTCTTGCCAAATGATTTTTAGTTGTAATGGGCGCAAACATGAATTCCTAGATTGGAATCTACCTTTTTTTACATTGACCACCTTTGAGTGCAAAGTTTGCATCCGATTTGCTCTCATTGTGGATGCAAACATACCTTGAAATTTGTGAAATTTGTCACTTTTTAGTACATAAATGCATTCTTGACAAACACCAGCAAAACTGAACCAGTGTATATATGCATTGAACTGGCATTTGCACTCTTCCCAAACAAAGCCTATGGCTCAGTTTGAAAAGAGTACAAATACAAATATGTACAGTGAAAAATACATACACTCCTTCCAAACTGAGTCTATATAATGATTCATAATGATCCATACTTTAGGGTCCATTTCGTTCCCTAGAATAGTGCTTGGAATTGGTTGGAGTGGAGATTTCAACTACCATTCTTGGCAAAATGGGATTCCCATTCCATAGCCTATCAAGAAGTAAAGAACTCTTGACAGATAAAAAAAACCCAAACCCTAATATTAATAAAATATTATTAAAGTAATAATAAGATAATAATAAAACAATAATATATTAATAATTAAATATTAATAAAATATAATAATAAAGTACAAATGAAATATGGAATAATATAATTAAGGTAATAATAAAATAACAAAATGTTATTAAAATAGTAATACAATAATAGTACTATAATAAAATATTAATAAATTAATAATAAAAACCAAGATATTAATTATTAAAAAATAACAATAAATTAATATTAAAACAATAAAACAAAAAAATAATAGAATATTAATTAACTGGTAATAAAATATTAATAAAGTAATAACAAAATAATTATGTATTCATAAAATAATTAATAAAATACTAATAAAAACAATAATAATAAAATATTGATAAACTAATAGAAAATTGAAAATTTTCAGTTGCTTCCAATTCCGACTCCAAATGAACCAAATAGCAAAAATTGGAATGCGACTCCGATTCCTATATGGATCAAACAGGTATTGGGAATGGATGACTCCAACTCCAGTTCCAGGGGATTTTGATTCTGATTCAATTCCAATCCTGACCGTGAACCAAATGGACCCTTAATATGTTGAAACACTTGTGCTGGTTATGAGAGTTAATAGTAGCAATAGATCCAACATGAGTGACAATTTGTAAATTTGAAACATCATTTGATTTTTCTAACTAGATTCCAAAGATGCTTGTTAGTTTGAAATCCTTATTCGACAGTGAATAGTCCACTCTTATTAGGAGAATTAGGCTGAAGTATTCTATATTGATATTAGAGTGGAAAGGGTGAGATTAATTGTTTGTTTCTGCAGAGCATTAAAAAATATGGTATGACAAAATTACAATATGATGACAAAGTTTATTGACCTGTAGAATATAATCCTTAGTGGCTTTTGTCCAGTTGCTTTTCGAAAGGAAATTAGTAGATCCCTACATCAAAAGGGAGGGTGTATAATCAGAAAAATATGGTTTAGATTATGGAAGTTAAAACAATGCAATCTGAGACTGTCCCCATACCGAATCATGCCACCACTAACAGTACCATGCACTGGATCATGCCAAGTTTTGTACAAATCTTGAATGAGTTCCTGTCTATGAGCTTGGGCACAAACTAGACCAGCATATTTTGAAACTTCAGGCCAGTCCTGAGAAGCTACTACCTACAGTTAAAATGAAATCCATCAGCATTCAAGACCTTGTCCAATGCTGAAGAGAAAAACTTTGAGAACCATGAGTGTAAATTGACTGATCTTACAGCAGCAATTGAAGGGCTAGAGTCTTCTCCATTTTCTGGATGGGTCACATCTGCCCCAAATATTATGGTTGGTATGTCACTAACCAATGGTATTCTCCAGCTGATAGCATCCAAGAGTACAGTATTTCTTCCTCCCATCTGCAAAAAAAAAGTGCATAGGTCTATGTATGTAAAACAATATATATTCATCTTCACGAATTGATATGAATTTAGGAGTTGCTCACACCTTAACGTTGATTTTCAGGGCTACATTAGCCAGATACTGTTTGTTAATCTTGAAAACATGCTTTGTCAGACAGCATTGTGATATTAAACCTAGATCTGTTTCACATATCCGCTTAAGATCACCTAAAAAAAAAAACAGAATTCTGGAAACTTTTAAATGATACAAAAAAACTTGGCCTTGTTTTAGTTATGAAAATCAATCCCAAACCTTAGTTCAGTGAAGTATAGCCAATAAATACACTATAGCATATAGAATACCATATAGGGAACCATTGTTGTCAGGCAGAATGACTAAGAGTAGCTCCAACTCTTTCCCTTTGAGTTTGTTCATAGCTGCATGATAAACATGCTTCAGAGCCTTCTCTACTTGTTCAGGCCTTGTTGTGTATATTGGGATCACAGGTTCTGGATTGAATTCCTACATAAGAACATAAAACAAAATATGTTTAAATTTATACGTAAATCAAGAAGTTGAGTATTCTATGAAAAGATGCACAAGAAGCACCACAAAACACTTCTCAAAACATGAAAGCTAAGAAGTGAGAGTACTACCATGCCAGATATTTGACACATTTGAGCCAGCCCATTACAAAATCCACGAGCAACACTCTCTTGAACACTTCTTGAGAAATTGATACATGCCCACCGGCTTACAGTGCTCCCATTGATCATTTTCTATTTTACATAGGCAGGAGGTCAAACTTGTGCTATGTGTGGAAGTGGAGACTAGGAAAAGCTAAAAATGAACTTGAAATTGAAAATAAATTAAATATAATAATTGAATCATAACCTTTCAAGTTTATTTATGCTGGTTCAATAGGATACATACAAAACCAAGAATAATATAATTTCAAGGGAGTAAATTTGAGGGGTAAAAAAGGAGCAATTCAACTCAACTAAGCCTTGTCCCAAACTATATGGGGTCGGGTACGTGAACCCTGTTCTGCTCTATTCAATGTCATGTCCATTGTTAAATTAGAATAATATAATTTGATATGTAGAAACTATGTAACTATTCTGATGGAAAATTTGAACCACTATATGAGACTGAACTCTAGTGACTGGGTAATGAAGAAAAAGTGCTACATGGGAGGGGGTGAGCTCTTGAAAAGAGTTACTGATTCCTACAGTTGTCAGACATGAAAACTTGAGGAAAATGTGGACTTACATGAGATAAAAAAACAATCAAAGTGCAAAGAGATATACCTTGTTCATCATATTCCACTGACCAACATGAGGCAAACAATCTTTTTCCTTCCCAGTATCATGATATTTCAGCTGCAGAAATAGGTAGATTCATACTGTGATTACAAAGTAAAAAATCTCTATCTTTACTTAAACCTAGAAATGATGTTTTATAAGCTGCACTATTACCCAAGGAGCAGGCAGAATCCGAGCCTCAACAGAAGCTAGCTTTTCACTGATTTTGATCCCAAACTCCTTTGCATATGGATCTTGGCCATAAGAATTATGTTGAACTGTCTGTGGAAGCATTTGAGAGGTTATGAAAGGTAAAGCATGCTATTTTCTCAACATTTAGATTGCATCACGACAGAATAGTGCAGCTAAAGTGTCACCTAGGAAACAAGAAATGCCTAGGCAATCAACTTACCTACTCAAGTAGACTCCATTAGAGGCCAAGACTGTTGATAGCTACTAGAAATCTATGCTAGCTAGATATAATCAAATACCATCAGTACTAGTACTTAGATTTTATTTAGATGTGAAAGAATATCCCACATTTGACATTCCCCATAGATAGGGATGTGGAACCAGTACAAGAACACAGCTACAGGCTGGTCTATGCCCATGATACCTAACAAAGAGTCTGTATACTGAAGTAGATTCTAGACAACCATTTGGTCCCCATGATAGATGTAGAAATTCTTAAAGGAAAATGGTTCTGCTAGGATGAGCCTTATTTGTGGGATTAGGATGGGAGCTTCAGGGACCATTAGCAACTTGTAGAGATTCATCCAAATCCAACTCCATTGTCTCAGTTAGCTACCATAATTTGGTCCAAGCTAGTGGATTTCATGTAGGTGCTAGTTCAAACAGATAAAGCATGTAGGCCCAACACATTATGACCCCCCCCTCTAGCAAACGTGCATATATACACAGAGGTTTAGATGCTCCATGGGATTCTTTCCCTATTTAAGTTTGGTTCTTAATCACAGATAACATTGATTTGAGAAGCATAATGTTTCAGCATAAAGGACTTGGGGGAAAATGTAATAGTGCAGATCTCCTTTTTTATCAATATGCAGATCTCCATTTTCTCTTCATAAATTTAAATATGACAACTTATTTCATATTATAAACTTCCCATCATTAACCATGATAGCCTATTTATTAAAAATAATTATGTCACACATCTAAGTTGCAAAAAAAAAAGAATTGAAAGATATTAAAAAAAAAAAGAAACAGAAGAGAGAAGTTAGACAAGAAATACCTGCAAGATGTCATTTTCCCGATTCCTAGGTCTTTGGCATGTAACTTTAAGAAGAGCAGTTATCTGCCTCTCATTCAGTCTTTTTGTATATCGTTGTCCCTCAACAATTTTGCATGCCTAGAAAACCACAATCATGTAAATAGGGTATTAAATATGGTTCTGGATTTGTAAGCATTCTCTCACAAAGTAAATATGTAACACGGATATATCCATAAAAGAACACTACTCCTTACTTCCATTGGCAAATAATTTGCCTTCTTATCGTTTCCAACTTGAAGGCAAGGAAGATGTGAATGCTGAATTGTGAAGCTATACATTTCTTGAAAATATTCAACAACTGACTTCATTGTTGATTTGTCATCAACAGGAAACCTGCCAGATTTCACATAATCATGAACAGAATCACCATGGAGTCAGGTTGCTTGTTCTTGGAGATTGACATGCATATATCCTTGAATGAAAAGGAGAAAAAAACAAACTAATGAAGTTCATTTACAACTGAGGCCCTACAAACCAACCCAAATTATAAAATGTCCATATTTATGAGTACAAAGTCAAATCTTGATAAAATAATTGGTTTCTCACTAGTTTTCCCCTTATCCTCTTTCCATGATGCAAATTTCATCTCAATATCCCTCTGCCAAATGACAAAAAGAGCTAGTTCCTCGGATCTTTTCTTATTTGAAAATAGTAGATAGTATTATAGTTTATATCAGATAGGTAAGAATGTGCGTGAGAGATAGAAGCATCTTACACCAGTTCTCTTGTAGGTTGTGTCGTTAATCCTGATACTCGATATTTTCTTCGCACATTTCCTCTATGAGTCACTTCAACTTTCACTCCCCTAAGGGTTTTCTTGATCTGGTATATATTTTCCAAATGAAAAGTTACAAGTTCATTAAAAAAGGTTATGAATGATCAATTCCTAAGAATTTGTTGCAACATAAAATGGACAGAAAATTTTTCAAGCTGAGACATTTAAGTATATTTTTACTCCTTTTACAATCAAAATTTTGTTTTCCTTGTATTTACATAAAATCAAATTAAAGGGGCTGAAAACAAAGTTTCATGGAAAAAGAGGTGGAAATGATAGCTCCAATGTTTCAGTTTACAATTTTCTCCATCTGTTTTATAGAGAAACAAACACAAAGTTTTAGCTGTAAAAATTACAGAAATAATAGCTGAAATATTTCAATTTGAAGAAAAAATTACATTCATTTTGTGGAGAAAAAATGCAGCTGCATTTTCATAAAAGATGAAATAGCTGTGTTTATTTCTCCATAAAATGAATGAAAATTTTCTCAGACTGAAATGTTTCAACTATCATTTCTGCGTCTTTTGCACAAAAAACAGTCTTTGGCCCTTTTATTTTTCATGCAAGTGAATGACAAAGACGAATGAAGTTTTTTATCATAAAAGAGGTAAAAATAAAGCTTAATATTTCAGCATGAAAAAACCTGTCCATTTTACATTGAAACAAAGGAAACCTAAAATGAAAATGAAATATGGAATTCAGTACCCATTGGTGAAAAAAAAGCAGTACCTTTACACAATCAGAATCAGATAAGGGCCTTGACAGCACATTCTTGCCTAGAAGTTGAGCAATAAACTCAACTACAGGCAGAGGTTCAATAAATGCTGCTGAAGACATATCTATATAAAAGGAATGGTATAAAAAACATAATCAGGAACAGGAGTAAAACAATGATGGAAAAGAAAAGACAAGTTTATCGTGCTTTAACCAATGATACTAACTAATTAAAGTTCACTGACCAATATTTAGGGACAAACCCATCTGTGTAGGTCTTATACTCTGGTAGAATCCACACCATGACTCCAGCCCTTCACCAAGCTGCTGTGGATTTCTTATATTAGGAGAAAAGAATGATCTCCCAACAGGGCAGTACCTTAAAATGAAGGAATCGTAGGACTTATTAGGACTCAGTTGGTAGTTTTCATTGAATGTGCACAAATTGATAGAGATAGTAAGTTGCAATAAATAATACCTTCTGGTTGAGAGTTCTCTTAATACAATGTCAAGAATCTGAAGAGCTTCCTGTGAAGAATCAGCACGTTTACCGGCTAAAAACTGACCCAAGTGGTGCAAGTCTACTTGAGCAACAAACTTGATTGCCACGTTATATTCTCTCTCCCTTCTAAAATGACAAAAGGTATATAATTTGAAATGTGAATGAAAACACCTCTAGAGAGAACAAACAAATGGAAGTAACACAAAGTCCAAATCGGGATAACAGTCAAAAGAGGGGACAATTCTTCATTTTCTTTATTTATTTCGAGTAAAATCACATTATAGTTGAGAAGCTTTAAACAGATAGCAGGAAGACCACTGAGAGAAAAGAAAAACAAAGCAAGGGAAAAGCGATGGATAATAATGAATCCTTACTTAGGACCACTGATTCCATCATCTTCATCCACAAGTTTGATCTTGAACTCCTTGGCAGTGAAGGGGAGCTCTCCCGCTGTGTATAGACTCTTTCGGCCATCATATGCAGGCAGTCTCATTCCCAAGCCCGACTCTCTGTAGAGCTTCACAAGCTCTGCCATGATAGCTCTATTTATGGTTTTTGAAACCACTTCAGGAGTAATAGTAACCTGCAAGAAACATGTAAATATAATAAAATAACAAGGGCAAACAAAGAACAAGAAGAACAAGATTTGAGCCAATATTAAATATATCATAATGCTAGCACAGGAAAGACAAGAAGAGTAGTAAATAGGAAATCTCCAATTTAGGTGCCTCTACAATTCAGTTTGCAGTAGACTGTAAGAAGAAACTCACGTGAAAGAAGAAAAATAAATAAAGGCCAGAAAAGAGACCCCAGTTATGGTGCCAGAGAAGAAAAACCATAGCCCATTTCTTCCGCAATTCAATTAACAGACTTGTGAGAAGGAAACCCAACAAGACAGATAACTTACATCATACTGGATTAAGTCCTTATCTGGTAACTCCGCCAAGAAATGGTTGGCCTTCACGATGCACTTCGTCCCTACTTGCCCATACCCAGGCCTTGGAGCAAACCTCAAAGCTTTGCTTGAAGAAGGGAAACCCATATCCATTTCATGTACATGACCTCCATCGGAAGACACACTGGCAATTTCAGATGACAGAGTTTCAACAGAGTGGCCTGCAATCGGCTTATCGGCAATGGTACAGGGCCTGGAAGTTGGTCGCATAACAACATCACCTTGGTCGGACTTTCGGCCACCTCTTCCTCTCCTCCTACCTCTGTTCCTTGAAAGAGGTGAAGGGTGCTGTTCACCATTAGTAATCTGAGGTTCTTCACGAGGTGGACCTCTCTCACTCTGAACAGTTTTTGGGACCTCCAGAACCGGATTCACGGATCCCTGTATTTGGGGTTTGATCACAAGATGCTGCTCTGAGCTCTCTTTCATTTGTCTCATGGGCATGGCGGCACAAACTAATGTACTTAGCGTCCTTCAGGCAAAAACGCTTCACCAAATACACAACTCTGCCTTACCTTATCTCACAGATTTCAAACAATCTGTACTCAGAATCCAAAAACAGAGTGAAGAAAGACATGTTAGCGAGATTATTTCAATTGAAAAATAAGTAAATAAATGGAAATTATGATGATAATGCATCAAAGTTTTTAGCAAAGAGGAAAAGAGGGAATGGAGAGAACGTAATCTTTGTTGCAGACTGCGAGCATTACCATTCCCTTGCAAAACTCGATACCCAAAACTTGCACCTCTGTTTCAGCCAAAAAAAATAATAATAATTAAATTAAAATCCAAAACAGAAAAATTTACTCAAAGTTTCTATGTGGTGATTACTGAAACATGAAAGAGGAAGGCGAAAGATGCTCAAAACATAAATAGTGGACTTGATGACCAGCCGGGTGGCCAGGTATCGCCCCCAAAACTCAAATACCCATAAAAAACGAAGTCCTAAAACACAAAACCCATAACACAGAGTTGTAGCTTGGTTTCAATCCTGAGACTCGAGAATCATAACACTGGGTCTAATGCAATGCCAACTGTTGTATAAGATTTACAACTTCTCCCTTCTCTCGGTGAGCAAAGTGAACGTGGTCTAGAAGGAAAGAAAATCAAGGCAGGAGAATAGCCATGAGCTAGCCATTCTTTGAACGCAATTTTCAGCGTATTATATTGTAAAGATCAACAAAGTATAAAATTTCAGTCTCCCTCCTAAAACCGAACAGAAGGCCAGATAGCAGAAAAATGAAAGTCCAATCTTTGACCCAATTTCTAACTTTAACGTCTCAAAAGCCATAGTAGAAAACACACACGAGGAAAAGAAAAAAGCTGAAGTGATGAACAGATAAAGGGAAAAGTGACGAAGAAAATTTGAAAAAAAAAAAAAATCCAGTAATCTAAACTACTTAAAGTTGCTAGTAATCCAACAAAAGAAAGACCCAGTAAAAGAACTGCAAGAAACTCAGAAGAAGAGAAACATTGGGACTTACCGCACCAACCCAACAAGTATGAGAGGCGCAGAAAATGCAGTAGTTTTCGTTTCGTTCGCTAAAGCCAACGGCCTCTTCAATAAAAAAACCGCGAAACTTGAAAGAGAGCTGCGAAAGAGATAGAAACTGAAGCAAAAGTGGAAAGAAACAAGAGTTGCGGGGGATTCAGAGAAAGAAAAAGAGAGCGCGCGTTAATGAAACTCATAGACGGATGACGCATGCAATTGATTTTGGCTTTTCTTTATCACGTTAAAAGGCTTGAGGGGGCCTGGTTTGCCTTTTAATGCTCTCTCTCTCTCCTCCCTGTTTTGGTTTGGTCTGACCGCGCAGCCTCGTGGACGTAACATGGATTCATGGAGATAAAAAAAAATAAAGAAAAACTATTTTTAAAATTAAAAACGAAACAGAAAGATAGTCCAAAAGAACTACCAAGGATGAAAAACAATGTTCATACATCGAACAAGAAAAATTCGAACTTGCAGTGTCCAGAGTCCAGACCTCCTCCCCATCCCCATTCATCATACTGCCAAGACTCTACCTACTCACCTTGACAAATGATGTAACGGTAGATTCTGATAGAGATATGAAATGAAATCCTCTGTTTTGTCGGAGTTTGCTGTGTCGGAGTTTGCTAAGCCAGCTAGGCTGTGTTTCATCTATCTATTATCACTATCAATTTATCACAGCTCACAGCTCACAGCTCACAACCATTGTTGGACCCATCGGGGAATATGTTAAAAAGAGAGGTTCTGATCTGATCAGCCTCCACCCTCTAAAGGTACCTTTGAAGATTCAACACCATGGGCCCCACATCCTGAGCTAAGATGTTCAATCTCTGCAAAGGTAAATTACATGTGAGTGCAGAGTGCTGACTGTCTGCTAGAGGTGTATTATAATGCATAGAGTGCATGAAGATGAGGAGTGAAGACATGTATCGACTAATAAATACATAAAATCATTACTTCTGGAAAAAATTGAGGTGAGAGAGAGGGAGGGTAGAGAGTATGGGCTCGTTTTGTTTTGATTTGGGTTTTGTAATTTTTATTTATAAACAAAAAAAAAGAGAAAGGTTACGTGGGCTTGTTTTGTTTTGATTTGATTTGGTTTAAGCTTTGTATTAATATATAGAGATAATGGACAAGAGAGGGGGATACTGGAAGGGAATTTCAAGAAGAGACTCGTTTTCCCAAATGATGAGAGTGCTTGTAGTGGAACCCCACATACCTATTTTCAATGGCATTGTTTTATTGAAAAAAAAAAGAAGAAAACAGGAAAAAAGAGGGGATTTTGAAAAGAATCCCCTTTCTCAAAATTCTGATGGAGGCCCATCACAAGGCCCATCTCATCAGTAGGGGCGTTAACTCATAGGATAAGGATAAGAGTCCAAGATAAGTCAAGAAAGGATAATTCAAGATCCGTCAAGACTTAATCCAAGATTTCAAGATTTATCAAGAATTCCAGACTTCAAGAATCATCAAGAATTCTAGAGTCAAGATAACCTAGATTTCCGAGACTTCCAAGATTCATGCATAGATGAGTTCCAGGGAGATCGGACGGTGGAAGATCAAGCCCAAGAATGTTCGATCTTATCAAGGTCAAGATCAAGAATAGATTAGGATCTATCACAATTCTCTTTCCTAATTACTTTACAATTTCCAGATGTATTATAAATACTGTTATTGTTTTCAGTAATAGACACTTCAGAATTTCTTCAGATTTCCTCTTCAATTTTCGCCACATTTTCTCTCTCCTAGAGAAATCGTGTAGTTTCGCTAGCAACTAGTGTTCGCCCGGTGCTTGCATAGCTAGCTCTGGTTTTCCATTACTTCCACGCTGCATCAGGTGGTATTAGAGTAGGGAGTTCGCCCAGTCAGATGGCCAACCAAGACGGTAGCAGTCGCATCCCGCCCGGTGACGGTGATCAGGAGTTACAAGCTGTTTGGAGAGCAATCGAAGAGCAGCGCACGGCCACACGTAACATCGAACAGCAGTTGGCAGAGGTGACTGAACAACTGCGAACCTTGTTACGGGAGGTTGTTCCACGGAACCGGGAACATCCACATCAGATCGAAGGAGATGACCATGACAGACCACCCGTCAATACTGCGTCCCGACGTCCAATTCTTGACGACGATAGTGATGATGATTTAGAATTTGGTGGTGCTCCAGTTCTTCCTGGCAACGACATAAACGACAGAAATTGGCACAATCAAGGTAATTTCAATCCCCGTAGGAATATTGATGAATTTAAACTCAAGGTAGATATTCCTACTTTTAGTGGAGATCTTGGCATAGAGGGACTTCTAGATTGGATCACAGAAGTCGATCGATTCTTTGAGTACATGGAGATACCAGAGGAACGAAGGGTAAAACTAGTAGCTTTTCGGCTAAAGGGAGGTGCATCTGTTTGGTGGGAACGCCTAAGAGAGACCGGGATCAGAGAAGGAATGGGTCTTGTTCGAACTTGGAGGTGCATGAAACAGCTTATAAGAGGTAGATTTTTACCCCCARATTATGAACAGTACATGTTTGAATCTTACCAACGGTGTGCGTAGGGTTCCCATAGTGTTAATGAGTATACATCTGAATTTTTGAGATTAGCTTAAAGAAATCAATTATCTGAAAGTGATAACCAGCAGGCAGCCCGTTATCTGAGTGGTTTGAGACCGTCCATTAGAGATAAAATTGGTGTACAGATGGTTCTTAGTGTGCAGGAAGCAAGGAACCTAGCCTTGAAAGCAGAATTGATGTTCCAAGACAAGGCACGTAGTGATAATTATCGCCGGTACAGCGGAAGCGACAACAGACCAGCAACTGTCGACAGGAACAAATCAGTCCTGGCAATTCAGCCTTCCCACCCGGCAAGTACAGCTAACGCTGGTAAGGTTACTACAGGATGACATACTCGAGGTAACTCTTCCAACCCTCCTAAACCCAGTAATCCCTATGCAAAACCTGCTCCTATTAAATGCTTTAAATGTAATGAGATGGGACATAGGTCCAGTAACTATTATAGGAGGAAGGCAGTTAATATGGTAGAAAGGGAGGAGGAAGTATACTGTGGTCCTGATGGGGAAGATGAAGAGGGTCCATACGAACATGAGGAGTATACTTGTGTTGTGAGAAAATTAATGTTGTCCCAGAAAAATAAAGATACTTCTCAAAGGCACAGATTATTCCGTACCAGATGTATTGTCAAGGGTAAATTATTTGATTTAATTATTGATAGTGGCAGTCATGAAAATATTATTTGCAGGGATGTAATACAAAAATTACAACTACTTCCTGATAAACATCCCAACCCATACACAATTGGGTGGATCAAGGAAGGAGGCGGCGTATGGGTGGAGGAACGCTACAAGGTACCTTTTTCTATTGGTAAGTACCATGATGAAGTATATTGTGATATTGTAGATATGGATGCCTGCCATATTTTATTAGGGAGGCCTTGGTAGTTTGATACAGATGCAAGGCACATGGGTAGGAAGAATACCTACCAACTTGAAAAGGAAGGTATACGCTACACCTTGTTACCCATGGCTGAAAGGAATATTCCTAAGGCCTTAAAAGCACATGAGAAAATTTTCCTTACCATTACCCATCGTCATGCTGAATTTGTAAAAGAATGCAAGGATACTCGTGAGGTACATTTGTTAGTAGTAAAGGGAGAAAATGTTAGTGATGAAAATAAAATTCCAGTGGAAGTATAGGGACTACTTGATGAATTCCATGATGTAGTTCTAGAGGAATTACCAAATGAACTCCCTCCCATGAGGGATATACAGCACCATATTGATTTTGTTCCAGGTGCCAACCTACCTAACCTCCCACATTACAGGATGAATCCCAAGGAGAATGAAATTTTATAGGAGAAGGTTGAAGAATTGTTGAAAAATGGACACATTCAAGTCAGTATGAGTCACTGTGCAGTACCAGCTTTGCTAACGCCCAAAAAGGATGGTAGTTGGAGAATGTGTGTTGGCAGCAGGGCTATCAACAAAATTACTATTGGATATAAATTCCCTATTCCCAGACTGGCATGCTAAATCAACTTAATGGGGCTATGGTTTTCTCAAAAATCGATCTCAGGAGTGGATACCATCAGATCAGGATCCGCCCTGGAGATGAGTGGAAGACAACCTTCAAGACTAGAGATGGCCTGTTCAAATGGTTAGTCATGCTCTTTGGACTAACCAACGCACCCAGCACATTCATGAGGCTGATGAACTAGGTACTGCATCCCTTTACTAGTAAATTTGTTGTGGTATATTTTGATGACATTTTAATTTACAGCAAATCTATCACTGATCATATGGGACATATTAGGGAGGTCTCTACATGCCCCTACTCGTTCCTACTGCTATTTGGGAAGACCTGTCCATGGATTTTGTGCTAGGCTTGCCAAAAACCCAAAAGAACATGGACTCCGTCTTCGTGGTGGTTGACAGGTTCTCTAAGATGGCTCACTTTCTCCCATGCAAGAAAACAACAAATGCGTCAGCAACAGCCAAATTATTTTTCAGGGAGATTGTCCGTCTACATGGGGTACCAAAGACCATCACATCAGATCGTGACACAAGGTTTTTAAGTCACTTTTGGATGACCCTGTGGAGGTTGTTTGACTCATAACTAAATTTCAGCAGCACAGCCCATCCGCAGACAGATGAACAAACCGAGGTGGTAAACCGGACCCTTGGTAACTTAATTCATAGCATATGTCGGGAGAAATCAAAACAATAGGACTTTGCCATTGTGCAAGCCGAGTTCGCCTATAACAATGCAGTGCACAGTTCTACGGGTAGATCCCCATTCTCCATCATGTACATGAA